CAGATCTTCCCGTTTACGATGCTGACTGTGCACCAGAGTCTCATATTGAAGCACCTGAGTCGAGCGGAACATCATCAATTGGTGGCTTGGCTCTAGCTTTAGAGAAGCTTGAGGTTAAAATCAATAGTTTTAATTGGAAATAGGTTGTGATGTTTGATTTAGAATCTCCGCGTTGACTCGCCGACGGCAGATGAAGTAGTTTCGGAGGATCCATCAGAGCTGTCATCTGGAATGATTGTCTGCGATTTGACGAATGAGTTTCGAAGGCAAAAGGCACGTTTTTATCATCTAAATGGAGCACATTCCACAGAGAACTTGTCCAGTTTACCCCCAGATATGAAACAACCGTCTTCGAGTACGGAATTATCCTTATACGGTACCTAATTATGAGCTTTTGCTGGAGGGAATTTTTTCGAATTACAAATTATGAGTGCAAAATTCTGAAAATTTCGAAATAGCCATGGTTTCCAGGTGCGTCGTCATAGGCATCCCCCAGCACCCTCCACTTGTCGCCAGCGGGCGCGAAGCAAGCCTCGAGTTGCTCATCGTGAAGGTTCATCCTCAGACGAGACAGAAGCCAGCCAAACCCATCACGTCGTTTTTGCAGTATGTCTCATGACTTATTTAATTAGGAAAAAATAACAGTCCTCATTCTCTACATTTTAAGTTACCAGTTCGCCGAGGAGCTTCGACACGAACTGTACGATCGGTGGCAATAAGAGGTGGTGCGGCACGCTGCAATGTATGCGCGTTTAGAATAAATAGCGCTTTTAATTGCAGGTGAATAATGCTTTTTTGGATTTTGAAGAGTCATATGCTATGACAAGTTTCTTTTGAGGTGTGGAAAAACGCTGTGTTCAAGACATCGCGCTGCACAATCGCATACATGCTCGAAATTTCGAGCAAAACTGCAACAAGTGAGCGATTAACAAGGCAAGACCATCGTATTATTTGTGTGTGAATTTGACCAATATTTCTGCGCATGGCTTTACTGCTAATCGAGGTGAGGGGATTGACGCGAAATTTTTTCCTCCATTCCTTAGAAGCAAACTTACCTTTTCATTCAGTTTTGGCTCGATTTTGTCCACA